CCAGCAATCCTACCATCATGCAAAACAGTTACAGGTTTCTGTTTCACAGTCATCTGGCAGGACGGTAGTACTTCCCTGGGTGGTTGCTGTCTACCAACCTACTACATTTTATTGTGGACAGTGAAATTTTGCCACAATAAAATGTCATATTAGTTGCACTTGTGTCCTTTTACCTAACAATGTAAAAGTTGCATGGAATCAAGTAGCCAGTCAACATTAAATGCAAGATGGGAAAAATTATGGCCTAGTGTGGTGAATAATTTCACTGGTTTTTCCTCAGTAGAAAGGTAGATCCAATAAATCATTGGTCTAGCAAGAAGTGTGCCAGGCGAAGGATTAGAAGATACTCAGCCAAAGGATTTGGATGAACTATTAGTTGATGATGACAAAGAACAAACTGCAGAGGAAATGTTTCAGGAGCTGAATTTCCAGATAGAAAGGATGCAAATAATGGAAGAGAATGAGGAAGAATCTGAACTTAACCCTTAAACTGTCCAAAGTAGATTTACATTTGCTCGTGTAGCGCTCCGAACGTAGATTATGTTTTTTTACATTCTTTCTTATGGAGAATATCAAGGTCGGAGCAATACATGCACAAACATAAGATCTATTTCTGGACAGTTCAAGGATTAAATAACTGACATTTCAAGGCCTACGATAGATAATGCATGGTGCTGGTAAACTTGCAGACACTTTCACTGAAAAAGACCTGGACTCATCTAGAAGTATTGATGGGAAAAATACAGCAGAGAAGCATGACAGAATTCCTGTAAGTAACAACTCTGCATTAATTTCATCCCACAAGCCAAAGCCATCCATCTCATCCTACAAAATACAACCATTCACCACGGCCAAGTAGAGTCACAGCAATCCTCTTCACTGATGTCCAAGTTGATATGCATCATTTCAATCATATAATTTTAAGTGAATGACATGCTAAGTATGGTTTGTATCCCCATACCCCCCTCTTTTTGCATCTGACACATTCCTGACAACAGAACTATATGTGAAACAGCATTTACATTATGTACTTATGAATCCATAACATCTGTATGCTGTAAAAATCATTGTAAAAAATTACATGATATGTACCCTAAACCTAAATAAAACAAAACTCAATAAACTTAAGCAAGACTTATGGAAGCTTTCGTATGATGAATTTACCATATATATATCTCTTCCATAGAGAATGGGCAGAGACTAAGACAGGGTGATAGAAAGGTATAAAATGGAGTGATAGTGTAGTGAATGTTGGAGGGTGGGACAGTAAGTGGCTAGTCAACTTGCACCACCACAACTCAAGTGTGTCCAGACACTGATGGGAGGATGAAATTTCATCATTCACGGTTTTGAACTAAGTATTAAATCTATGGTTCTTGACCAATCTTTACCAAATAAATGTGAACTGTCTATACACACACAGAATAATCATGTACGAAGTAGGAATTCATTTGGTTAAAAACTAACCAAAGAAATAAACCCGTAATACTGTACGAATATTAAATTCACGTTTCCTGACCAATTTCTAGAAAACAAATGCGAGCTCTCTATACATGAATATAATGACCATACATATAGTATAAATGTACTTCATAAAAAATTAACAGAATTTTTTTATAATTTAATGATTGACACTAGAATGATGAAAATATCATTTACTGTGAAAGCTGGGTAGATATAACAAAAATTGAACACAGGACAAAATTTAAATCATGACGTGATGAAAGCACAGTAGCTGGGTGCACGGAAGGTGGGGGTTTACTGAAATCAGTAGTAATACAGAATAATCAAGACTTTGATTCACAATCATTCAATGAATTCTTGAACCATATAAACTTACAAGCTCAACAACTAAAACTACTTCTGGTGCACATACAAGTTATAATGTACATACTCTAAATCCAGAATGCAATGGTCCCTTGAGTTATGATATTAATCCATTCCAGAAGACATGTCATATCTCAAAACTATCATAAATCAAACCTAAAATATATTGTTTTATGGCAGTTCATTCCAAGACCCTAGAAGTGCAACTTTTACTGCACCTTGGAATTGCATAATCACAAATATCACTTGCAGCCACTGTATCTTCCTTCATCTGCTTCTCTCTTATCCACAATAGCAAGTTTTTCCATCCCTATGATAATTTCTCATGCATCAGTGCACTAATTCTGACTATTTTTTTTTTTTTTTCACAATTTCTGGCTTGATCTTCAGAGAAATTGCCTGTTTACTGTGCACTTCAGGGGCCATGATGACTTGGTAACACAAAAGATAGGGAAATTAAATCACAAATGCATGTAGTACAGTAGACCGTCGATGAACACAGGTTCCTTTAAAGCATTTTCTCCATTACACTACTGTCAAATTGTGGGATATTTTCATCTTACACTTCGTAAAATTCACTTTAAACGGTTCTGCTTCTCGGTAGGGAAAAAAATTTCAGCACCTCAAGCTGGACAGCATGGATTTTCCCCTGTGTAGTGAGTGTTAGGCAGTCTGAGTGTGGGTCAGGCCATTGTCTTTTACGGGGGAGGCCCTAGTTTCCTAACCTGCCACCTCCATACCAGTGCTCCATATGTACACGTCCAGTAGAGTACCCAGCACTGTCTGAGAATTGGGTTTTGGTCTTTTCATTACCTTACATTGCATCTGCCACAGAACCATGGCATCCAGGAAGCATGCAAGTAATGCAGGAAGTGGCAAGACAAAGTTAAAACATTCAAGTCTTGGAGTTATGAAGAAAATCAAGATGTTAAATAAGAGTAAATGTGGTGCCTGTGTGGTGGACATGGCAAGAGCTTATGGCCTTAATGAAGCATCGGTTCATATGATTAAAAACAGTGAGTAAATATATGGGCTTGTGCAATAAATAACCCGGGCTGTCGTCTGATTTACTGAATGACTAACTGACAGACCTGATTTACTGACTTGATTGACCTGAAAGACTTGACTGACCTGACTTGACTGATTTACTGACTTGATTGACTGATTTATTGAATGACTTACTGAATGACTTGACTGATTAACTGACTTAATTTACTGACTTGACTGACTTACTGACTTGGCTGATTTATTTAATGACAACTGATTTACTGAATTACTGACTGGCCTACTGACTTGACTGATTTACTGAATGACTTACTTAACTGATTTATTGAATGACTTACTTGACTGATTTACTGAATGACTTACCTGATTGATTTACTGAATGATTTACCTGACTGACCTATTGACTTGACCAATTTACTGATTTGACTGGCTTACTGACCAACTTAACTGATATCCTGACTGACTTGACTGACTTAACTGACCTGCTGATTCAACTGACTCACTGGACTACCATCCACCTCAGCCCAGATGGGCCTCAGCATGCCTCTCCACTCCCTCCTTCACAATCATTGACAAATGCCAGCAAACACAATGAAGAGTAACAAATATTGTTTTTGTTGTATTTGTAGCCTTAAACAACAGAAAAAAACATACATAACAACAATGAACAACAATTTTATTATTTTTTTATTTGAGTAAGATTTGGAAACCTAAAAAAAAAGTTGTTTGGCCTTTTTTTTTGGGGGGGGGAAGGGGGGGTTCCCAGGAATGTAACTCTATTTTTCCCGCAAGTTCTTCAGTTCCTTTAACACAGATTTGTCTAACACTGCATTTTCAAGAGCGTAACTACTGTGTTAATCGACACTATTGTATTTCAAAATTTTCATCATAAAACTCAAAGCTCAATTCCTTTGTGAGGGTAAATTGAAACTCAAAATTATTATAAGTCAAGACCATCATAACTTAAGGGACCACTGTACATACAAAGTACATGAAACATGTGAATAAAGACACTGTAACTCAACTGAAATATAGCACTAAGCATATTAAAATCTTGACACACAGTACAGTGGAACCCAGGATTTTGATCGTAATCCATTCCAGAAGGTCGGCCTAAATCCAAAAAGGCCGAAAACCAAAGTAATATTTCACATAAGAATTAATGTAAATACAATTTATCCAAATGATTTAGATAAAGAAAAATTGGATATCAAATTGGGGAGGAGGAGTATGGAAGAAGTGAATGTTTTCAGATACTTGGGAGTTGACGTGTCGGCGGATGGATTTATGAAGGATGAGGTTAATCATAGAATTGATGAGGGAAAAAAGGTGAGTGGTGCGTTGAGGTATATGTGGAGTCAAAAAACGTTATCTATGGAGGCAAAGAAGGGAATGTATGAAAGTATAGTAGTACCAACACTCTTATATGGGTGTGAAGCTTGGGTGGTAAATGCAGCAGCGAGGAGACGGTTGGAGGCAGCGGAGATGTCCTGTTTAAGGGCAATGTGTGGTGTAAATATTATGCAGAAAATTCGGAGTGTGGAAATTAGGAGAAGTGTGTGAGTTAATAAAAGTATTAGTCAGAGGGCAGAAGAGGGGTTGTTGAGGTGGTTTGGTCATTTAGAAGAATGGATCACAGTAGAATGACATGGAAAGCATATAAATCTATAGTGGGAAGGAAGGCGGGGTAGGGGTCGTCCTCGAAAGGGTTGGAGAGAGGGGGTAAAGGAGGTTTTGTGGGTAAGGGGCTTGGACTTCCAGCAAGCGTGCGTGAGCGTGTTAGATAGGAGTGAATGGAGACGAATGGTACTTGGGACCTGACGATCTGTTGGAGTGTGAGCAGGGTAATATTTAGTGAAGGGATTCAGGAAACCGGTTATTTTCATATAGTCGGACTTGAGTCCTGGAAATGGGAAGTACAATGCCTGCACTTTAAAGGAGGGGTTTGGGATATTGGCAGTTTGGAGGGATATGTTGTGTATCTTTATATGTTTATGCTTCTAGACTGTTGTATTCTGAGCACCTCTGCAAAAACAGTGATAATGTGCGAGTGTGGTGAAAGTGTTGAATGATGATGAAAGTATTTTCTTTTTGGGGATTTTCTTTCTTTTTTGGGTCACCCTGCCTCGGTGGGAGACGGCCGACTTGTTGAAAAAAAAAAAAAAAACAATTTATCCATTCCAGATACCCAGAAATATTAACAAAAAATACATTTTTTAAAGATTAACTATAGTTTTACATACACAAAATAATGAGAACTAAATAAAATGTCTAATGAAATGGATAAATGAACATTTAACATGACATTTACCTTTATTGAAGATTCTTGTTGGCATATGGAAGACAGGGAGGACTGATTATTGTTTGGAAGGGGAATCCCCTCCATAAGGACTTCAGGTATCAAGTCCCTATCTGGGGTTACTTCCCTTCTTTGTCTTTTACTGGCACTAGGACCAGCTTGAGAATCACTGCACCCCTGTCACACAAAAAAACTGTCTAGAGAGGTCTGTTTCTGGCATCTCATTAAAATTTTCCTGAAGTGGGACAAGGTTTTGTCACTGAATTCTATTATGTTTCTCACTTTCTTTACCAAAGGTCTGGCACTAGGAACTTTCTTTGGGCCCATGGTGGCTTATTTCACAGTCACACTCAATAAACAACCACAAAAAACAATGGATTACGACGAAATGTTTGGATGAATGCGCGGAGTGTTGGTCACTCACCGAGAGACACAGCCAGACTGACTATTGCATGCGGCGTGGCAGGCGGATGCATCCAATATGGCCAATTTCCGAGTTGCTGGCCGAAATCCAGGATAGAATTTCGGCCAAAAAAGCGGCTGAAATCCGATTTGGCCGATATCCGCACTGACCGATATCCGGGGGTCCACTGTATTTGGTAACAAATTATTCTCAGAAAGAAAATACAAAATTTCACACAATTTTACAAATAATGTCTATTTACACCAAGTTCAGGTACATAATAAAAATTTTTCACTCTTAAACCACACGAATGTGCACTAGCATGAACATTACTCTGATCAGCAGTACAAAGTAATACACTGTACATCATTGGATACATTATTATCTTGGAATTCATCATTAGAAATAACTCCATCTGCTTGAGATGTGTCTTTACATTGTCTATTGGCTAATTATACATCACCTTTAAATCTGTACACAATAACATGAACCAATAAATTTTTTGTCAAGTTTAGGCATAGCTGAATTTTTGTTTCTATAATTAACATTATCTTAGAGCTTACTTTGATGTTATTGGTTCTGCATGAGAATTTCTCATTTTTGTGAATTCAGCTCTAGCCTTTTCTAAAGTTCCCTTAACACATCCAAAGACTAACTACTCATTACAGGTTTTAATCATAACAGAATCATTGTGATTTGGTAATGGTGGCAAATAAAGCAAATCATAAGAAAGTCTTCTATCAACTTTACAGAAAACAAAATAAGGTGTTTCACTGACTGAAACATCAAATGAGAAATTTATAGTACATTTGGTATAGGTTCACCCCTTGTAAAACTCAGGATTTATAGTGACTCTTAAAATAAGTAAAAGTTTACTGTATGCTCTACTAATCCATTATCAGCTGGATGATGAGCTGTTATTGTAGATTAATTGTGTACGAACTGTTCAATCAACCTAACTAGAATTTCACTGCAAAATTCACCCCATTATCAGATTCAATTGACTTGGTAGTATGACAAATAATCCTTTCCCTGAATACGCTTGCAACTGCTTCAGTCGTTTTATCTTTAAGGGTAAGCAAATTCACAGAATCTTCGGATATAGTCAACCAAAGAGAGAAACCCTAACTATTATTACCAATCAGATTTTTACATTAGCCTTGAAAATGTGATTGGCAAATATTGTAATTCAAATGCCATTTAGAAGAAAAATGTATCTTTATATATTCCAAGAATTAAAAATTGTTGTAAATTTAAAAATAATATTTTGCAATATCTCCATGGGGGAACTGGAACAGAATTCTTCCTCCGTAGGCCATGCGTGTTGTAAGAGGCGACTAAAATGCCAGGAGCAAGAGGCTAGTAACCCCTTCTCTTGTATATATTATTAAATCTAAAAGAAGAAACTTCAGTTTTTCCTTTTGGGCCACCCTGCCTTGGTGGGATACGGCCGGTTTGTTGAAAGAAGAAGATTTTGCAATATGCCATTTATATTTTTTCACCCTCTTTGAAGGTTATTAATGTTTGCTAACGTTTTTTTTTTTTTTTTAAAAGTCGGCCATCTCCCACCGAGGCAGGGTGACCCAAAAAGAAGGAAAATCCCCAAAAAGAAAATACTTTCATCATTATTCAACACTTTCACCTCACTCACACATAATCACTGTTTTTGCAGAGGTGCCCAAAATACAACAGTTTAGAAGCATATATGTATAAAGATACACAACATATCCCTCCAAACTGCTAATATCCCGAACCCCTCCTTTAGAGTGCAGGCATTGTACTTCCCATTTCCAGGACTCAAGTCCGGCTATACAAAAATAACCGGTTTCCCTGAATTTTTTTTTTTAACACGTCGGCCGTCTCCCACCGAGGCAGGGTGACCCAAAAAAGAAAGAAAATCCCCAAAAAGAAAATACTTTCATCATCATTCAACACTTTCACCACACTCACACATTATCACTGTTTTTGCAGAGGTGCTCAGAATACAACAGTTTAGAAGCATATACGTATAAAGATACACAACACATCCCTCCAAACTGCCAATATCCCAAACCCCTCCTTTAAAGTGCAGGCATTGTACTTCCCATTTCCAGGACTCAAGTCCGACTATATGAAAATAACCGGTTTCCCTGAATCCCTTCACTAAATATTACCCTGCTCACACTCCAATAGATCGTCAGGTCCCAAATACCATTCGTCTCCATTCACTCCTATCGAACACGCTCATGCATGTCTGCTGGAAGTCCAAGCCCCTCGCCCACAAAACCTCCCTTACCCTTTCCTTCCAACCTTTTCGAGGACGACCCCCTACACCACCTTCCTTCCCTACAGATTTATACGCTCTCCATGTCATTCTACTTTGATCCATTCTCTCTAAATGACCAAACCACCTCAACAACCCCTCTTCAGCCCTCTAATACTTTTATTACTCCACACCTTCTCCTAATTTCCACACTCTGAATTTTCTGCATAATATTTACACTACACATTGCCCTTAGACAGGACATCTCCATTGCCTCCAACCGCCTCCTCGCTGCTGCATTCACAACCCAAGCTTCACACCCATATAAGAGTGTTGGTACTACTATACTTTCATACATTCCCTTCTTTGCCTCCATAGATAACGTTTTTTGTCTCCACATATACCTCGACGCACCACTATATTAGTAAAATGCAGTAGACTGTTTTAAGTGGCATACCTATACTGCTGAAATACACAGAACTGTAATGCACCTTAGAAAACAATGCAATATTTAAATAACAATACCTTGTTGAACTTTAATTTTATGAAGACCTGGATCAGAACCCGAGTAAGAGTAAAAACTATCGTGCTCTGTGGAAGAATAAAAAAAAATAATGCTGTAGCTAGAGGAAAGCTGGCATGTACAATATATTAATTATATAATATTTAACATAGGTGTTGTTTTATTCTTAACTACATATGCAATTTTAAGTAACAATAGGACAGATTTTCCCCCACTTTATGCAGGGTCACTATTATGAATGTCCTATTTCTATTGGTAATTCTCAATGTGTGATGAACATATTTTTTTAACGGGAGAAGCACTCAGCCCATAGGGGTGATACAACACCTGGGTAATGGGAGGCAATGAGGTTCAATCCAAAGAAGGCAAGGATAAATCTAATTTCTCAAATCAAGAGATTCTCTTTCTGGTCCTTGAAGAGGCAATGTACATAAGCCATATGAATTGGTGCTGTTTGCAAGATGATATACGAACAGTAGTACCTTGGTACTTGAATTTAATTCATTCCAGAAGGCTGTTCAAGTGCTGATTTATTCGAGCACCAAACAAATTTTTTCAATAAGGAATAATGTAAATTAGATTAATCCGTTTCGGAGCCCCAAAAAAACACTTACAAAAGCATTTTAACACAGTTTACAAACCTAGCATGCTTTGAACACTTCACTACCTGTATCAGCATTCATTCCAGGAGTGTTCTTCAAGAGATCGGAGTGCAGATGTTTTGCTTTTTCACAAATAAAAGTCTCAGAAACACTATCAACAGCTAACTGTTTTTAATTGATCCAAATCAACAACAATTTCTCAATCTCTTCAATTGTCTGTGGTCTTTGTTTCATAACCACTTTCACTCCTTTTACAACATCAGCCTTTTAAATGGCTTCTTTTATTTTTTAATATCGTAGAGATTGTAGATTTTGCCATATGACACTCAGTAGCAAGATCAGACATGCGTGCACCGCTTTCATATTTTGCTATGAGTTCTTTTTTCATCTCTATTGTGACTAACCAATTTTCTTCTTGGTTGGCCGTTATCACTAATCTTCTTAGGCCCCATGATGATTTATTTATACAAATAATATAAAAAACACCAAAAAATGCAAATAAACACAAAACAGTTTACAGCGAAGTTCTGGCAGGTCATGTTTGTTTGGTCGGGTGCCGAGCAAACAGTCGACTACTGAGCGATTTTTTACCAAACAAAGCATTCAAATACAGAATTGTTCGAGTTGGGAGCCGTTCAAGTACCGAGGTACTACTGTGTATCTAAGATTGCAATTAAGCAGACCTAAGTGTTGATGGTTTGACTGAGCTTAGTACAGTTGTTGTGGGGCCTGAGCACATCTACTGCATAAGGTGAGGCACACTTAAAAATAATGGACAGTACAACTGATCACTGCCCAACATTTCAAGTCTCTATTACAAAAAGCCCATTAAAAAACTTTCAGATGCCATAATGATGCCTTAATTAAGAATCATACTGATGATATATTTGGTAAAAATACTGACAATATGTTAGGCACAAAGAAACAAGTAGCTACATTTTGTTCACCAGGGAGGACACAAGACAAGGCAGATACACAGCATGGGATACATCAGAGTAATGTAGGGAAAGTATGGGATAAACAATACAATATAGGGAAATAGGATGGTTATATACACCTGACAATATATAAAAATTACTCTGGGATACACCTGACAATATATAAAAAACTGTGGGATACATTAGTACAATATCAGGAAACAGCATGGGATACACAAGACAATGCAGGGAAGCAGCATGGGATACACAGTGTATGGAAATAGAATGGGATACATATTTTAGATCTAGGTAGTAGGTTGGTAGACAGCAACCGCCCAGGGAGGTACTACCGTCCTGCCAAGTGAGTGTAAAACGAAAGCCTGTAATTATTTACATGATGGTAGGATTGCTGGTGTCCATTTTTCTGTCTCATAAACATCCAAGGATTCAGGTATATCTTGCTACTTCTACTTACACTTAGGTCACACTACACATACATGTACAAGCATATATATACACACCCCTCTGGGTTTTCTTCTATTTTCTTACTAGTTCTTGTTCTTGTTTATTTCCTCTTACCTCCATGGGGAAGTGGAACAGAATTCTTCCTCCGTAAGCCATGCGTGTTGTAAGAGGTGACTAAAATGCCAGGAGCAAGGGGCTAGTAACCCCTTCTCCTGTATATACACTTACCATCCGACTTACGACCTGCTCGACATACGACGACTCGACTTACGACCATGTTTTTTATGCCAAATTTTTGGGAAATAAACAAGTGTTTGTGTTGTACACAGTGTTTATCCTAAACCTTAGTATAAAATACAGTACTGACAGCATAAAAAGTAAAGTAAAACATGAAATACCAAAATAAAACAATAAAATAAAGTCATTACAAAAATGTTACGTTGATATTCAGTAGAAAAGCTCGACTTACATCCATTTCGACTTACGACCGGTTTCTCGGAACCGAACTCGGTCGTAAGTCGGATGGTAGGTATATTACTAAATATAAAAGGAGAAACTTTCATTTCTCCTTTTGGGCTACCCCGCCTCGGTGGGATACGGCTGATGTGTTGAAAGAAAGAAGAACATATTTTAGAGGAAACAATATGGGATTAGAAAAACAATGTAAAGAATTAGTATAAGGCACAAACCAAGAGAAACTAATGTGGGATACACTAGAAGAATATAGGGAAAAATCATCAGACACTCATGGTAATGTAGGGAAGCAGCTGGGGATATACAAGAGTAATGTAGGGAAACATCAGGAAAGGTTCCTGGACACTGATCTGTCCCTGCATGCCAGTAACCAGCATGGGCAAGACTTTGTTCATCACATCCACATCACAAGCTTCATAGAGGTACTGACCACCTTCACCTACTTCCACTTGTCACACCCCAAGATCAATGGCAACAGTATATGCTGGGTGAGGATCAATGCCATGGATGCATGCTATCACTCCTGTTCACTCAGTGACTTCTGTAAAAATGCCACCCTCTACCCTCAACTTTATCCTGACCTCTACCCTGAGAATTTCCCAAGGCCACAGTTTCAGTGGTTGCAGTGTGATATAACAAGTTCACTCATGTGAACTTGGATATGGTGTTCAAGCACAAGACTTCAAGAATGAGGATGAAGGTTTGGCCCTGTATGTCCAGGTTCATGTGGAGTTTCCTCCTGCCACTACTAACAACATTTCCACACATGTGGAGGTCCTCCTCTGGCATGAGAGCTGGCCATATATGCCATCAGCACCTTGGTCACCTCATGTATCAATGGAAACAGAATACAGTAAGGCCCCGCTTTATGGCGTTTTGCCTTACGGCGTTCCACTAATACGGCGATGTCAAATTATGACCAAAATTTGCTATATGGCAAGCGGTCTTTTAAATACGGCGCCCCCACCTGGTTTGTTTACATTTTCCGTGACCACATCTATTATGTGAGGAAACTTTCCAAAATTTAAAGTGTTTTAAAGCTACTGCATATTTTATATGTACTCTGATAATTATACTTATGTGTACCTGTACTTAAATATACTTACACACTGTGCTGGTGTGCAGGTACACATTAAAATCGCTAAGTCTCTCTCTACTCATGACGCCAATACTATGTAATAATAATCACTCTTGGGCACACTAAATGTCTTATTTTACATCTATATAGGCATTTTCATTAATCCATCTATGATATTTTCCTCAAAATTATATATGAAACCCATTACATAGCATATAAACATGATACATACACTCAGAATAAAAATTGATGTAAATTCAAATTCAAAGTTTATTCTCTATAAAGATTACAATGTTGAATTTACAGAATTTGGTTGTTGTGTGGTTTGCATGTAGTTAAATAATGATTACAGAGTGTACCACTAGAACGCCTAGCATGGCTAGGCATTTTGGGCAGACTTAGTTTAATTCTTTATTTTAAAATATTACAAATTATGAGGTAAGTTGGTATTATGGCTAAGTGACTAAATACTAGTTTGTGAGTTTAGCAATGTGAATGCTTTTGTTTTGGCACAGTACATAGTTTCAGTATTGGAGTATCATAGGATTCATTATTTTAAGATTGAGATTAATATTTCTGTTTATGGTCAAATGGGTGAGTGAGTGTAAGTGTGAACCACCAGGTGGTATTCGTGTAGTTAGTTGATGGGGTTTATCAGGGAGATAAGATGTTTTCTAATGGTAGTTTTGAAGGTGATGAATGTGTCTGCAGTTCTAGAGTTCTCAGGTAGGGTGTTCCAAATTTTAGGGCCTTTGACATACAATGAATGTTTGTAAAGGTTTAGTCGGACATGGGGAATGTCGTAGAGATGTTTGTGTCTGGTGTTATGCCTGTGGGTTCTGTCACAACTATCAAGAAAGCATTTTAGGTCAAGGTTGATATTGGAGTTTAAGGTCCTGTAGATGTAGATTGCACAGTAGTAAGTGTGGATGTACTGAACAGGGAGTAAGTTTAGATCTATGAAGAGTGGGGGGGTGTGTTGCCAGGGATGCGATTTAGTGATTATTCTTACTGCAGCTTTTTGTTGGGTTATTATTGGCTTTAGGTGTGTTGCTGCAGTTGATCCCCAAGCACAAATAGCATAGGTGAGGTATGGATAAATGAGTGAGTGGTATAGTGTGAGAAGGGCATTTTGCGGCACGTAGTATCGTATCCTGGAGAGGATCCCAACTGTTTTGGATACTTTTTTGGTTATGTGTTGGATATGGGTGCTGAAATTCAGGTTGTTGTCAAGGTATAGGCCTAGGAATTTGCCCTCATTATGTCTGGTAATTAGAGTGTTGTCGATCTTAATGTTAATTTGTGCATCTGCTCTGCTACCAAACATAATAGGTTTTGTCAGTGTTAAGCGTAAGTTTATTGGCTGTCATCCAAGTCGATATTTTGATCAGCTCCTCGTTAACAATGGTGTTGAGGGTGGCAAGATTAGGGTGAGAGATGACATAAGTCGTGTCGTCAGCAAAGAGAATGGGTTTCAGGTGTTGGGATACGTTTGGAAGATCATTGATGTATATGAGGAAGAGCAGGGGACCAAGGACACTTCCCTGCGGAACTCCAGTATCAAGTGGCCGTGTTGTTGATGCTGTGTCTTTAATGGTAACATACTGATACCTATTAGTAAGGTAAGATTTGAAATAAGCAAGCGCATGGCCTCTTATACCGTAATGGTCAAGTTTGTGGAGTAGGATGTCGTGGTTTACTGTGTCAAAAGCTTTTCTTAGGTCAATAAAAATTCCTAGTGGATATTCCTTATTTTCCAATGCTGTGTAAAGCAGATCTAGCATTTTTATGATTGCATCATTAGTGCTTTTATTTTTCCTAAATCCAAATTGGCAGGGGTTGAGTATGTTTTGTGCTGTTATAAATGAATATAGTCTCCTGTGCACGAGTTTCTCAAAGATTTTGGATAGCAATGGTAAGTTTGATATTGGCCTATAGTTGTTTAAGTTTGTAGGGTCACCACCTTTATGTATTGGTGTAACCCTTGCCATCTTGAGTAGTTTCGGGAAGGTGCTAGTTTCTAGTGACTTGTTAAAAAGTAATGAAATAGCATGCGAAAGGATATGGGCTGCTCGCTTGTACAGTAATGGTGGGACATTAGACAGATTCCCTGAGTTGTTTTTAAGTGACTTTATAATCTCGGTGACTTCCGAGGGCTCAGTTGGTGCAAGATAGAAGGAATTTGGGAAATTGCTTTGTTTACAAAGCAGCTGTGTAGGTAGTGTCGGAAG